TTCACATCTTAAGAAGGGTAAGCAAAAGCATCTGATATCTGAAGTACCCAGGTGACTCAACAGACTCAATCTTTGCATCAAATATTCCCATCTAGAGACATGCAACTGACACTCAAACTAACTAATACCACTGCTTCTTTCCTTTTCTGAATGAGAAACTCATGAATACAAATCTATTTAAAATATTGCTAGAGGGGCTGGAGTTGTGGCTCAGTGGTAGAGCTCTTACCAACATGTGTGAGGCACTGGGCTCAATCCTCAGCACCACATATAAAATAAAATAAAGGTATTGTGTCTATCTACCACAAAAAAAATTGTGTGTGTTGTATAGAGAGAGAGAGAGAGAGAGAGAGAGAGAGAGAGAGAGAGAGAGAGAGAGAAGATATAATTATCATTAAAATGCCACAGTAGCCCATTCATAAAATTAAGCTGCTTTTAAACACTATAATCTGAAACTAAAGATGGCACTGGGGAAAAAGAAAAAAAGATTCCTAACATACCAGTCACTCACAAATGCTTTTGCTTACCCTTCTTAAGATGTGAATCTCACTAAGATTCAAATACGATAACGATGCTGCAAAGGGCTTTGACTTGAGCATCCGCTAAATATGAGTTTTATTTCTAGTTCTGCTTTTTACTAGATATATGGACAATTTGTCTAATGTTTCCAAGTTCCAGTTCTTCTTCTTAAATAGGTCAATATGTGCTGCATAGAGTTTCAGGGAAGATTATTAAAATAACAAGCAAAACTCTCGGCACAGAAATTATACACATTCAACAATTATGCCTTTCTGCCTTCCTTTATATTCTTTAAAAGAGTAACAAAGTAGAGCCAGGTACAGTGGTGCACTCCTGTAATCCCAGTGGCTCAGGAGGCTGAGGCGGGAGGATCACAAGTTAAAAGCCAATCTCAGCAATTTAGTGAAGCTCAAAGCAACTTAGTGAGACCCGCGTCTCAAAATTTAAAAAGGGCTGGGAATGTGTCTAAGTGGTTGAGTGCCCCTGGGTTCAGTCCCCAGTACTGTGGCAGAGATATATTAAAAAAAAAAAAAATGAGTAGAAGAAATGAGTAGAAGTGCACATAAGTAGAACAGATGAGACCACTGAAGCATGGCTAATATCTTAGCCTGGAAGATAGATCAAAGTTTCTCCATTTCTCCTCAAAAGGAAAGAAAAGTTAGAATAGTGACAGATGTAGAAAATGTTTAGATTCTCTTACTTTACTTTCTATAGGCTTGATAGATTGTGATTAAAAACTATGGTGCCTCCCCATTCTCATCTACTCATTCACTTGGTCAAAAACATACTRTGCTGGGATGTGGCTCAGTGGTAGAGAACTTGCAAGTGCTAAGTACAGAAAAGATACTGATTGTAGACACTGTTCTGTCAAATGGTGAATAAGATAAAAACATTTCCTCTGTACATTATAAAACTGTAGTTCATATGTTGAAGACTTAAGCCCAATACCTTAGGATGAGGCCTCATTTGGAAATAGGGTATTTACAGAAGTAATCAAGTTAACATGAGGCCATTAGGATGAGAGCCCTAATCCAATAAGACTGATTATGTTTATTAAAAGGACATTTGGACACAGAGGAATATCTAGAAAATAGATGATGGGAACAGAAATAGGGAGAAGCAACCATCAACAAGCCAAGGAGAGAGGCCTAAGATAGGCCCTTCCATCATGGTCCTCAAAGGAACCAACCCTGCTGACACCTTGTTTTGAACTTTTAGACTCCAGATTTGTGAGACAATAAATTTCTGKTATTTAAGCCACTCTGTGGTACCTTTGTTATAGCAGCCTTATCACACAATTAGAATATAAACATAATTAAATTTAGAAATAATAATATTAACTGACAATAACTGTGGCTATCTTGTCAAAAGTTTAAAATTTCTTACACATTCTTGCTTTAATTTTTCACTTATCACTTTCTAAAACAATAGAATATACACTCCAAGAGTTTTTGTCTATATTGTTCATTCATATATCACCAGCAGCTAGCACATATCTAGCATATAATAAGTACTAAGAAAGCTTGTACTGAATGAATAGTAAAGAATGATAAGGCCAGACAGGCATCTCTTAAGGACAGGGATATAGCCTAAGAAACGCCATCACTGTGCATACATCACAGAGCACAAACCTAAATGCTCTAGTCTGTTACACACCTGGGCTTATTGCCCCTATACTACAGTCCTATATAGCATGTAACTGCACTGAATACTGTAGGAAACAGTAACACAACAGTGAGTAGAATGCCACTAGGCAATAGGAATTTTTCAGCTCCATTATAAACTTATGGGACCACTGTCACAAATGTAGTCTGCAATTGAAAGAAACATCTTTATGCAGCACATGGCTGTAAAGGAAACCTTACCTTGGCTGGGAAGTCAGGAGGGTTTCCCATGAAAACTACAATTAATCTAATAATGAGGTGGGAGTGTAGATAGGGCCACAAATACAATTAAGAGGAGACAACTCAAGACAAAGTGAGAAAAGCATAACAAAGGTCCTGCTGCAGCAGCAAAGAACTTGATAAAAGAGGTAGAGGAGAAGAAGAATGAGGCAAATGAGGTAGGCAATCCAGACTCAGGTAATAACAGATTTTATTGAGTCTTATCTGAAGAGTAATGGAAAGACACTGAAAAGTTTTTGATAATGGCAGAAGAGCATCAATGTCACAATCAAAAACCAAGTAATTTCAGAAGGTAGTTTGTTTTGGTGCTGGGGGATTGAACCCAGGGAGTCATTTAGAGGGAAGAATAAGTGCACAGAATCAAGAACTATTTAGAAAATAAGAGACTGACAGAACTTGAAGATGAACAGAGAGTCAGGAAAGGGGAAAAAAAGGCCAATATGAAGAATAAAGAATCAGAATGACAAGCTAGTTATTGAGAGCAAGGGGGAATGCAGAAGGCAATGGAGGAATACCTTCTAATTCAGACAGAAAAAAAATCTTTCCAACCTCAAATTCTACAACTAGCTAAATTATTAGTCAATAATAAAGGTATTACTCACTGTTACGTAAGATCTCAAAAAGTATTCCTCCATATACCCTTTCTTAAGAATTTTCCAGGAAAATGTATTTTACCAAACCAAAAAAAAAAAAAAAAAAAAAAAAAGGAGAGAAAAGGCAGATTTGGATACTAAAAACAGAGGAGGGAAGAGAGCAGAATCTCCAGAAGATTCCATGTGAGAGACCAAACAAGCAACCAAAGGAGGCTTGAAAAGTATAATAGAGGTTAGAGAAAGTTCTGGGGGAAAACACTGCCAAATAATTAAGTTGACAATGTATGTGTTTAAATGTATTAAAGTAATTTATACTTCAGGAGGAATGTTCAGAAATATACCCATAGTAGACAAATAGAAAACTAAATGTTTTCCTGAAAGGATTACATCCATACTATGTATATATACATATAGTATGTATAAGTTGTAAATAATGTATCTAACCTAAATAATGATCTAATAAAACATTATTACGTAACAATATTCAAAGGATAAGAGGGAGGCAAATGGGGGGTCAGAATATATGAAAGAGCTAAATCTTCATTTTTTCATATTATTATCATGTCAATCATAAAAAAAAAACTGAAAAACTTCAAGAAATAGAGTTATCACCSCTCCGCCAGTTCTGGATATTGAACCCATGGGTGTTCTGCCACTGAGCTACATTCTCAAACCTTTTTATTTTTTATTTAGAGACAGGTTTCCATTAGGTTGCCCAGGCTAGTCTCAAACTTGTTATCTTTCTACTTCAGCCTCCCAAGTTGCTAGGATTGCAGGCATGTACCACCATACCTGACCTCCTGTATACTTTAAATCATCTTCAGATTACTTTTAATACCCAATACAATGTCAATGCTATAAGTAGTTGTTATACTGTAATCTTTTACATATATATATGTGTGTGTAATATATATATACATATTTTTTTTTAACCAAAGGCATAATAGCTGTCACCTTATGGGATAGGAGGCTGGTTGTTGCTGGAAGAGAGATAAAATTGATGGTTTAGGCCTCATAGATATATCTGATTTTTAAAAACTATATGCATATAAAACATTAATGAAATGTTTACAAGAAGAAGATATATCAATAACATACTTGGAGACTGACACCAAATTAAAATATATGATTAAACTGTAAGGCTAGCTAAATCTACATGTGTAAACCTGGTTTTTGTTTCTACCACTTTTAACAGTTTCTGTAGGACCAGTGGAGAAACAATCTTGCTGCTTCTCCCCAGTTTGATCAGACTGTATCACTTTTCTTTTTTATATTTATTCATTTACAATTTAACATTTGCTTATTTCTTTTTTATTGGTACATTATAATTATACATAATAGTGGGATTCAAAATGTTATATTCATACATGCACATAGTTGGAGCTATCTGAGGAGATTGCTTCCTTTTTATGCAGTTTGAGAGACCAAATMCTGCCCACCTGATTCTAGGCAGGTTCCCTGGCTTAGCTATTAAAAGAAAGCAACCAAGGGAACAAAGAATATTCAATTGACAAAAACAGAATGGTGTTAGCCTGGGAAAGATATATAAAAAGACCATTTAAGGAAAAGAAAGTGATAAAGTTCGGAGGTGTTAAGAATAAAATGAAAACTATTTTTGGCACAATTTGCAAGCTATAGAAGTGTTGAAATTTCTTACAGAAGAATTTTTATTAAAGGCCTGAGGACAGGAGAGAGTCAGGAATGTTCTCAAGCTAGTCTCATCTTCTCACAGAGATGTTTTTTGAGAACTAATTAGTATTTGCAAAGTGTCTAGTGATTAACTCAAAGATAGTGTCATAAATCAAAAAGCAGGTTCATTGAGTACAAAAGAAGGTCACTGAGTAAACAACTAAAATTCAGTCTCTGAAGTAATATTAACAAAAGTCGTATTGAACATTAACATAAAACAGTTTTTAAGATTTACTTAAGATAAAAACAATCAACCCAAGTTCTTTGCAAATAAAGAAAACTTTGTACAACTTACGATATTTACTGTGAATTTCATCTATTTCCTTTTCTGTTTGGTCCTTCGTAAAAACCATTACCTAAAATAATCAAAAAAATCTTTAAAATTTCCCCCAAAATGACAAAAATGGAAATACTACAAACTTTAAATTCTCCAATGTATTTAAAGGAAAATAATCTCTTATCTCTGTTTTACATAGATTAAGAACAATTCTTATGTGTTTCCTTTGATGATCATAAATAGTATTCATTGTACTCATTACTTTTTTCTCACCAGTAGCAAATGCAACACTGATCCCATTATAATAAAGAAAGTATTAAGAAAACAATCCAATAAATTTCCTATTTTCAACATCTCATTTTCCAGTCTCATTAATGCAACAGGTAATATTAGAAACTAGAAGACTGGAGACATTTAGCTGATCGTTAATAAGACACACCTTCTTATCTGCCTTCTTTCCTTTCTAACCTAAACTCTCCAGATTATATTAGAAAAATCATACGTAGAGAAAATGAAATTAACACAAGACTTAGTGTGTTAAATTTCTTGTTCTACTTTTAAAATCTCAGAAACTTACCTACATAATTCATCACAGTCTCCATTTACAATTAGCACAAAGGTAATAAAAATAAAGAGCATAGAAATCCCATTTTCTCTATTACCTGGGTATAAACTTACTTCCCTAAGATCAWTGCCTTCCTTACAAAGACATTACCAAGGGTCTAGAAAAATCTACTTGAGAGAGACCCAAACACCTCCTCCATAATCACAGGACAAAGTGACCRTTTTCTTCTTTGATATCCCTTCCTCAAATGTTAAGCCACAAAGCTAAAAGAAGGCAATAGTGAAAATTTTTATGTTTCTGACTCCCTCAAAAGCTTTGTAGAACACCTAATTCTTATAAACTCTTGTAATTACTTAACATCTCTATAGATATAATTAATCACAGGATTGCATAATTTCAGAGTTAAAAGAGGATCTTAGAAGTCATGTTCAGCCGCTTAGTTTTACAGATGAGAAGATCCTGAAGGCCACAGAGATTAAATAATTGTTCAAACGTGATTGGGCCAATATCAAAGCTCCATTATGAAAAAGCATGGGCTTTTTCCTCAGAACTCCAGCTCATGAACAAATTCTACTTTGGATTGCATTCTGTGTTAAAGTCTACTAAACATAATTGAATCCATGCTAAAATGTTCTGCAAGTAAATCTTATATATTAAATGTAGTCTAGTATATGTCCTACTAAATAATTTTAAAATGGCTGGCTTTAATTTTGGTAGGTATTAAACTTCTATTCCCCTTATTTCTAACCAGACACTGAAATAGACCATCAACTTACACTTTCGTTGAGTTTACTTGCTTCAAGACGCATCCTGGTCTTTTCCATGTTTTCAAGTTCCTGGACTATTTCAGCAGCTGTTAAAATAAGAACATATAATCATTGTTAATCACATGGTTTTGATTGATGTGTTATGGGTATGAAAGTTGTTAACACTAGAGGAAGCTGGGTGATGGATATATCTCTGTTGTTGTTGTTGTTTGGCACTAGAGGTTAAATTCAGGGACACTGGAATACAGAGCCACATTCCCCAGCCCCCCGCCCCTTTCTTTGTATTTTATTTAGAGACAGGGTCTCACTGAGTAGTTAGCACCTCAATTTTCCTGAGGCTGGCTTTGAACTTGCAATCCTCCTGCCTCAGCCTCCCAAGCCCCTGCAATTACAGGCACGCACGCAGGCATGTGCCACCATGCCCGGCTATACCTCTGTTCTATTCTTGCAATTTTTCTAAGCCTAATATCATTTCAACCTAGGTTAAAAAAATATAACATGAAATTAAAACACAGTTTTAGTATRACACAGTTCAAAGTATAACCAAAAGGAAAGTCAAATAATTTTGTTTTTTTCCTTTGAATGCATAGGTATAAACAATAATCCCAGTGGAATACGAAGATTCATTTATTTATATGTTTTCAATTCTTAGGGGCTACCTGCTCAAACTCCAATATGTTAAATGTAGTACAACAGGTTACTTTTCAAAGAGAGAAGAAGTCTACAAATACCAGAGGGAAAAAATTCTATTTCTAGAACTTTTACCTATAGGTATAATTACTAATTATACATATCAGAGAGATCTGGAATACACTCTGTCACACATTTGAATGTAAAGAGTATAGAATTTGTAAATGATATCCTTCTGCATCCAAAATCAATGTATTAAAAATTAAAACTAAGGTACATATGATAGGAATAAGAATCTACAATCTCTTATGCTCATTTACATATGAAAGATAATATATGTCTGGAATTTGCTTCAAATAATCCATCGGTGGGGGGAATTGAAAATGGTAGATGAAAAAGAACTTGAGGGTAGTCTGATAATTGCTTAAATTGTGCAGTAGATATATGAGGGAAACCAGTATACTCTTTACTTCTAAATTGGCTTGAAATAATCCCTACTAAAGTTTCTTTAAAAAAACAAATCACAAACCTTAAGAGAATCATCTAAGAAAGCAAGCAGCTGAGTGTTTTCCAAGCACTGAGATGTACTTTCTGCCTCCCTAATATAGTAAGACTGGTAAAAGCAATGTAAATAGTACCTTTCTCTGCTAGCACTTCTCTCCTTTCTAAAGCTACTAAGTCAAGGTAGGTAATATAGGAAAGCAAAAGAACCATATGCATTCTATCCAATTCATCAATTCAAGACAGAGAACATCCAGCATACCCTCTTCTAAGGTTTTAACAAAAAGATCTTAGGATTAGTTACAATTTAGGAGCTTCCTTCCATCTCTTTCAGAGAGAGTTCCGATTCTTTTTAGGATGTAGAGAGTTGGAAACAGAGTCACTCTAACCCTAATGGAAAGAAAAAGCTCATAATCTATAAAACCACAATTTTTTTTCCTTCATTAGATCTAAAATCACCAACTAGCCTGAAACCTAAGACAAGAGAGGTGCCTGGGGTAGGGTGGGGTCATAAGCACCAGTGAACACAATACAGTGTACAGGAGAAAAACTGGGACTACCCTGCCTCTGAGTAAGAGGATTTTAGTTAAACTTTTTGATGAATTGCAAAAGGCCAAACAAAGGTGGGCTTCTAGGAAGATTAAAGCTCAGGGGGGCTTAAACACAAGGAGCATCACATGCAATGCAGACTGTTTTCTACTCAGGAGTATCCAGTCTGTCTTTCACTGGGGAAATATAAATAATAAGAAAAAATTCTCCCTCCAGTTTCAGGCATGGGAAAGAAGAGACCCACAGTGCAGGACAGAGATGAAGTCCCAACTAAATCTTTATCCCTTAAGAAATGAAAGGACTAAACCACTGGAAAAGGATCAGCAAAACTACTGCCCTCAGAATACAAGTAAATCCCTACTACTGTTGGGGAAAGWAAGCAAATAACCACAGACAAAAACCTCTACCCCTGCAAAAGGGTCAAAATCCCACTCCAGGCCCAAACTAGAAGACCACTACACCACTGTGGGTGGTACTGGTAACTGAGAACCCTACCCCTGGGGACCAGAATCAAAGGGCCTGCCTGAGACAGTCTGAATCAGTACAACAGAGAAGGGCCCCTTGCTCTGTGCCAAGAACTGAGCAGCCTCCAAGAGGTAAGCAACAGCAAGCTTCCTCCATCACTGGGAAAGAAATGAACATAAGGTACAGGATCACAGGGGAAACCTCAGTTATGCATGGTAGACATTAAAAAAAAAATTAATGACAACTCACCCACCAACAAAAGCTACAAGGGAGTTCTCAAGAAATGTGAAAATTATGTTGCTCTGAGGGTAACCATAGCAACAACAAAATCCAAACCAAGTACAAGTATAGACTAAATTTGAAGAATCCCAAGTAATAAAGACCTAGCAGAAGAAGAGATACATCTACTTCTAGGCACAAATACTATATAATACTTCAGTATTCAGATTCTTACATTCTTACATATAAAGTCTGGCTTTCAACAAAGACTTGTAACAGTAATAAGAAAACAAACTCAGATTGCATCAAGATATTAAAATTATAAGACATGGGATACAAAATAACAATTAATAATATACTAAAGATCTAGTGGAAAAGACAAATAATATGAACAAATGGAGCATTTCAGTAGAAAATGTATCAGTAGAAATTCTTTCCTTAAAAAAGAATAAAATAGGGCTAGGGTTGGGGCTCAGCGGTAGCGTACTTGCCTGGYATGTGTGAGGCACTGGGTTCGATTCTCAGCACTATGTAAAATAAATAAAGGACTATCAACAACTAAAAAACAAAAATTTTAAAAATTTAAAAAAAAAAAAAAGAATAAAATAGCCAGGCWCAGTGTGCATGCCTATAATCCCAGTGACTTGAGAGGCTGAAGCTAGAGAACTACAATTTCAAAGTCAGCCTCAGCAATTTAGTTAGACCCTGTCTCAAAATAAAAAATAAAAAGGGATGGGGATGTGGCTCAAGGTTAAATGCCCCTGGGTTCAATCCCCAGTACCAACAAAATAATAGTAAAATAAATAAAAATGCTAGATTTAAAAAGAAAAGGTAACAGGATAATTTGAAATACTTATGGGGAAAAATAATGAAACTGAAATGGGATTGGTATTATCCAATCTGAAAATAGAATACACAACAAACAAAGCATCTAAGCTGTAGGACAATAGGAGAAGAATAAAACAAATGTAATAGAAATCCCAAAGAAATGAAGAGAAGAAAAGAAATAGTTGAAAACCTAATGTCTAGAACTTGCCAAATATAATGAAAGACACCAAATTACAAATGCAAAAAAGTCAAAGAACATTAATACAAAATAAAACAAATACAAAAACAAACAACAACGTGTACCCACATAAAATCTTGAAGCCAGAAGGGGAAAAGTATATTACATAAAAAACATCCAGAATTATATCACATCTCTAATCAGAAACTATTCCAGGCAGAAAATAATGCAGTAACATTTTTAAAGCACTGWCCCAAAAAAAGTTTACTAATTTAGATTTCTATAACAATGAAGGTATCTTTCAAAAGTTAAACAGAAGAAAAAAATTTAGCAAGATGTTAAATTAAAAAMAAAAATTCTGAGACAACCACAAGCAGACAGGAATTTACTAGCAGTCCTCTACTATAAAACATATTAAAGGAAGTTCTTTAAGCAGAAAACCAGAAATTGATCTCTACAATATAAACAAACTACTGGAAACAGCAATCATAAAGGTAAACGTAAAATGTGCATTTTTCTTTTTAACTCCTCTAAAACAAATTATCTGTTTGTTAGGAAAACAATAGCAATGTATTATGTGATTCAATAGCACAAAAAATTAAGAACTGAGAATACACTGTTAAAATGTTTAATAAACAACTAAAGCAAGCTGTATGCTATTTGAAGGTAGACTGTAACTAAGGATATATATTGCAAACCGTAGAGTGACCACATTTTTTGAAAAAAGAAATACTAAGCCAACTGTAAAAATAAAGTGGAACAATAAGAAATGCTAAATCAACAAAAAGACAGCTTTAAAAAAATGATTAAAAGACCAAAAGCAGACAGAWGAAAAAAAATTTAGCAAGATGTTAAATTTAAGCCAACTCCATCAATAATTACACTAAACATGAATGGTCTAAAAGAACCAAATAAAAGACAAAAACAAAGTCAGACTGGATTTTAAAAAGAACAAGAGCAAATTGCAATAAAAACCTATTTTAAATAAAAAGACAGATTAGAAATAAAAGTATGGACAGAGATGTATCATGTAAACACTAATGCAAAGAAGCCTAGAATAACTGTATTAGCACAACTGGCTTCAGAATAATCAATGTTATCAGGGATAAAGAGTAAAATTCAAGTGAAAAACAAAGTCAATTCACCAAGAAGATGCAATAATCCTAAATGTGCATACACCTATGACAGAAATTAGAAACACAAGAAAAAGAACTCCTGATTCCAAACAAGATGGGCTAGATTCATTTCTCCCTCTTCTTCCCCACTAAAGACAACTACCTACAGTAAACAGGGATGAGAGGTGGGAGGGAAAGGGAGTGAGAAGGGAAATTGCATGGAAATGGAAGGCGATCCTCAGGGTTATACAAAATGTCATATAAGAGGAAAGGAGGGGTAAGTCAAGAGAATACAAATGGAAGAAATGATTTACAGTAGAAGGGGTAGAGAGAGAAAAGGG